AGTTTGACTGGGGTGAAGGGTGGCGCGAGCGCCGCCCGCGTCGGCATCGCGAGTCCATCCGCAGCAGCCCCTACGGCGGCCATTGGACAGGCTGGGCAGGGTGGTCCAGCTGGGAGGCCGACGACCGCTGGAGTCGGCCCGCGCGCGCGCCCCCCCCCCCCCCCCCTCATTCTCGACGACCTCCCCGCTCCCCGGTCAGGCTCCTGGCCACCCTTCAGGAGCGCGCTAGCCGACTACTCGCAAGACCTCTACGACTTGGACACAGGACTCTACATCTACAACACCCCTCTGGAACGAGTCGACATCCTGAACCACATTGGCGAGGCCCCTGCCGAGACCGCGAAGCGACTTCAGAGAGACCTGGGTGAGTACTTCAACGGAGTATGGCGCCAAACCAAAAACCACGCGCCGTCGGGCCGCATCTGCGCTGACCCTGCGCGCCAGCACCCCGATTCCTGCGCGCGCTTCCTCAAAGAATGGCTCAGTCACTAGTGCGATGTCTTCAAGGTGGACGCAGCGCTCCGACTGGGGGTCAACTGGGGCGCCGTCCGCGCTCGGCCCAGCGACAGAATTAGGACCGCGGGCACCCTTGGAAAGGCCAAACGCGAGGGGCCCCGCGAATACAGTGACACCCGTTGGACCTGGACGGTGGAACCCAGAAGGGCAGTGGACTCGCGTCAGCCCTCGGCGCACTCCTAAATCCCGCCCAGGCCGCACAGACTGGCGCGCGCAGCGACGCTCGTGGACGCCCCACACTGCGTGCATCAGTGTGCCTCTCGGAGCCCAACGCCTCTGGCCAACGGGGCCGGTCGGCTCCTCCTGCGCACCCCCCGCGTGCGCCAGCGCCGCCTTGGACGTGCCCAGCTGGGGCTGCCGGCCCGCCCTGGGCTATAGAGCCCCCTCCGGGACGCCGCTTCGCGCCCCCCCCCTCCCCCCTGGCCGATTGCCGCCCCCCCCCCCCCCCCCCCCCCAGCGCGCCGCAGGTGGCTCGGGGATCGGGCCCTAGCGCGGGCCCCCGTCGCCGCCGGAGCCCTTGCGGCGCCTTCTGCAGCCCCGCGCTGCCCCGCGCGCCGGTGCCTGGCCATCGCTGGCAATCCGGCTTGACAACCCGCGCCCTTCGGATTCCCGCCTGGCGGCCACTCTGTTCACGCTGACTGCGGCTGTTAGCCGCCCTCCCCTCGCCGCCCTCTTTGCCCCGCCCTCGCGCCATCCTCGCCGCCCCTCCTCCTGCAGACGTCCCCTCTCAGGAGGCTCGTTCCACCATGTCTCGACGTGCTCTGCGCCTGTTAGCTGCAAACGCCACTCACACTATGCCCCCGGTGCTCCCTGTGGAGTGCTAGGGCCTGCGCGCCGCGGTCTCATTGGGCAGGCCCGCCCGTCCTCCTCCTGCGGCTGCCCCCCCGCAGGCGGCGCTCAGGCCCGTGCGTCTTCTTACTAACTCCGCGGCTGTTAGCCGCGACTCCCCTCGGCAGTTTGGCTTGCCCTCGCCGCGTCCCCCAGGGGCGCTTGCGCTTCGCGTTTCTTCGATGACCGATCTTTCGGGCCCGCCCGCCCTCCCGCGGCTGCCCTTCCGCCAGCGGGGCGCGGGCTCAGTGGCCGCGCCGCGCCCTCACCCTCGCGCGCGACCGACTTGGTGCAGCGCGCCGGCGCCCCCCCCCGGGGCGTCGAGGCATGCCGACGGTAATCGTCCCAGTTCGTTTGTCCCAACCGCCTCCCGCGGCTGCCCCCCCCGCTGGAGGCGCGCGGCCCGCCCTTGACGCATTCTTCCCGCGGCTGTTAGCTGCGACCTCACTCGCTGCGTGGCGACGATATCTCTGCGGCCGTTAGCTGCAACCCTATTCGCAGCGCGGCCCTGATCCCCAGCGCCCCCCCCAGGGCGCGCGGGCCAGGTGGTTCATCGATCCGCCGTCTCTGGCCCGCCCACCGCCCCGCGGCGCCCCCCCGCAGGAGCTGCATGGGCTTGACACCTGGTGGTATTATGTGATCGGTTTTGCGGCGGAAGCACGCGCGCCTCCCACTGGCTGGGGCTCCTTTGACGACTCGCCCCGCCCATTGAGGTGCCCAGGATGCAGAGACCTGGTGGCGCCTCGAGGTCCGCTGCTTACGCGGCGCGGTTCGCAGTTCAGTGGTTGACGACGGCGGCGCTGTTCCCCCGCGTTGGCACGCGCTTTGTCGGAGACGTGGTGAGTCTAGTCTCTTCGAGGAGGTTGATGTCACAGGCGTGCCTGGGCTCGAGTGTCTTCGGCTTTTGAGCTGCGCTGAGGTTAGCTGCGTGGCGCCATCTCCGCCGTTCGTTCGCCGCCCGCGCTCGGCCTCGGCCCTGCCCGGCTAGCTGCCCGCCTCATTGCTTGCATTTCTCCGCGCTCGCCTGCTGTAGTGCCTGGCCTCTGTCCTGCTCGTGGTAGGCCTGGTTTTCGTGCGACCCCACGACGCCGCGCGGCTGTCCGCTCGCGGTTGCGAGCACAGAATATCCCCAGCAGCCCATCCAGATTTGATTTCCAGGCGAGTTGAGGTGATCAGGGAAGCGCGGGAACAAAGAGGGGGGCGGCCGAACGGTGCGAAGGAGGGAGGAGGAGGAGGCTGGATGGATAGATGAGGGAGCGGGGAGAAGCAGGAGGAGGAGGAGAAGGAGGAGGAGGGGGAGGACGAGAAGGAGTAGGGGGAGGAAGGAGGAGCAGGAGGAGGAGGGCAAGCAAAAGGGCCAGAGTTCACTTGGATGCCTCTCGGAACCTCTTGGGATATCTCTTGGGCGCTTCTTGGTGGCCTGTTGGGACGTCTTGGGGGTCTCTTGGCGGTCCAGGGGGGCTCTTGGGCGTCTTGGGTGTCTCGGGGGGGCCTCTTGGGGCCGCTTGGGGTCCTCGTGGGGGCCTCCTGGGAGCCTCTGGGACCATCTTGGGGCCTTCGGGGCCTCCTGAGCGCCTCTAGGGGCCATCTTGGAGGACATCGACCAAACAAGAGGGGGTCCTTAATTAGGGCTGCCCATTTAGAGCGTCTAACATCGCCTCTTGGGTTTTTTTTTGTGCGCTCTTGGAGCGTTTCTGGGTGCTCTTGGGGCCACCGTGGGGCTCTCTCGGGGCCCTCTTGGGCCATCTTGAAGCCATCTTGAAGCTTCGAAGAGCTATCGGAAGCGAATGGGCGAGACTGCAACAAGCATTGGTTTTCCTTGGGTGTTTGAAGGATTTGGGCCTCTTGGGGGCCTCCTTGGAAGTTTCGGACGCCTCTTGGAGCCATCTTGGAGCGTTCTTGGGGTTTCTTGGAGCATTTTGGGAACCATATTGGGGCGTCTTGGGCTATCTTCAGCCATCTTGGAGGTCATCTTGGGCTCTCGGAGGCCCTCTTGGCGCCATCTTGGGCGAAACCATACCCTCTGACACCTCGCGGGGCGCCCCGTCCAGGTCCAGGGGAGTGGGTTCGGGGGAGGGGTGAACCCCTCCCCCAAGGGGAAGAAGGGGGGTGGATGAGGAAACCCCCTAAACCACCTACGCCCAGAGGGCTGGTGGGATTACCGGCGGCGGGCGAGGGGGGAAGTGACAAGGAGAACGCGTCCTCACAAATCTGAGAAGTTGTTTGTGTCTTCGGGGAAGGCCCAGAAAACCTCTCAGAACGCCGGGGGATTTCCGAGTCTCCACGAAGGCCTTCTCTTTCTCAACTCCCCCCTTGCTAGCCGCCGAAGGGAGGGAGGTCCAGCGCCGATCCAAGAAATCTGCGCGGACCTCCGACAAGTAATGCGCATGCCTATTTGTTTTGCTCCTCCGAGGGAGCCCCGTGCGGTTATCCTTGTCCGCCGCGAGACGTAGGAGCAGGCGCAGGAGGAGGAGGAGGAGGAGGAGGAGGAGGAGGAGCAGGATGAGGAGGAGGAGGAGGAGGAGGAGGAAAAGGAGGAGGAGGAAGAGGAAGAGAATGAGGAGGAGGAGGATAAGTAGGAAAAGGAGGAGGACGAAAAGGGAGGAGGAGGAGGAGGAGGAGGAGGAGGAATTGGCGCAGGAGGAGGAGGAGGAGGAGCAGGACGATGAGAACGAGGAGGAGGAGGAGGAGGAAAAGGAGGAGGAGGAGGAGGAGGAAAAGGAGGAGGATGAGCAGGCGCAGGAGCAGGAGGAGGAGGAGGAGGAGGAAAAGGAAGATGAGGAGGAGGAGGATGAGGAGGAGGAAGTGGAGGAGGAGGAGGAGGAGAACGAGGATCGGGAGGAGGAGGAGGATTTGGAGGAGGAGGAGGAGGAGGGGAGGAGGAGGGGAGGAGGCGGAGGAGGCGGAGGAGGAGGAGGAGGAGGAGGAAGAGGACGAGGAGGAGGTGAACGAGGAGAACGAGGAGGAGGAGGAGGAGGAGGAGGAGGAGGAGGAGGAAGAGGACGAGGACGACGAGGACGACGACGACGCGAGGACGACGGCGACGACGACGACGACGACGACGCGGCCGGCGGCGGCGGCGACGACGACGACGAACGCGGAGGGCGGGGGAATCAGAGGAGGTCGAGGGAGGGCGGGGGGGGCGAGGGCGGAGGCACGAGGAGGGCGGAAGACGAGGGAGGAGGAGGAGGAGGAGGAGGAGGAGGAGGAGGAGGAGGAAAATAGGAAAGCAGGACAAGGATGAGGAGGAGAGGAGAAGGAGGAGGAGGAGGAAGAAATGGCGCAGGAGGCGGAGGAGGAGGAGGAGGGAGGAGGAGGAGGAGGAGGAGGGGAGGAGGAGGAGGAGGAGGAGTAGGAGGAGGAGGAGGAGCAGGTGGAGGAGAACGAGGAGAACGAGGAGGAGGAGGAGGATGAGGAGGAGGAAAAGCAGGAGGAGAAGGAGGAGGATGAGCAGGCGCAGGAGAAGGAGGAAGAGGAGGAGGAGAAGGAGGAGGAGGAAGAGGACGACGAGGACGACGACGACGACGAGGACGGCGACGACGACGACGACGACGACGATGACGACGGCGGCGGCGGCGACGACGACGACGACGAACGCGGAGGGCGCGGGAATGAGAGGAGGCCGGGGGAGGGCGGGGGGGGCGAGGGCGGAGGCACGAGGAGGGCGGAAGACGAGGGAGAAGGCCGAGGGAGGTTGCGGTTGGGCCCAGCCTGAGGCGAAGGACTCGGCGGAGCGGCTGCGGGCTCTCCGCGAGGACGCCAGCGGAGCGGCGAGTCGCGGCCGGGCCCAGCCCGATGGGGCCCAGTTGGAGGCGGCGGGCTCAGCCGAGCGGCTGCGGGCTCTCCACGAGGACGTCGGCGAAGCGGCGAGCGTCTCCATCCGCAGTCTTTCCCCTCCCTCCTGGATCCTCCCTCCCTTGGCATCGCTCGGACGTGTGCATTTTTTCTCGGCTGGGGCCATCGAGAAGCATCCTCGGCCATCGGGCCAACAAAACACGCACGAAACCGAAAAATGCACAGGGACATCCGAGCGATGGCGAGTCCCCTCCCTTCTGGATCCTCCCTCCTGGATCCTCCCCCCTGCATCTTCCCTCCTGGATCTTCCCTCGGGATCCTCCCTCCTGGATCCTCCCTCGGCGGTGCCCCCCCCCCCTCCTCAGGGGCAACCATTTGGGGGGGGGGGGGGGGGGCAGGCTCGGGGGGAACTGCATCGACCACCCCCAATCGCCGAGTCATCGCCGAGGTTTCCCGATGGTCCCGTCCTGCCCAGTGACGTGCGGATTCGCCATCGTGCGCATATCGCCGATCTGTCGGCGAGGTTTCGCAGCTTCCAATTCGATGCTCCCCCCCGAGTCAGTCCCCCCCTCTCGTTGCCCCTCACTCCTGGATCCTCCCTCCTCCGCTCTCACCCCTCGGCGGCAGGGCCGAGTGCCGATACGACGCGGAGCCTGTTTCAACGAGACGTCGGCCCGGCGTGGTGCTTCCTGAAACAAGGCTTGCTTTGGATGGTTCGACATCTCGACAAATCACGCCCCGAGCCCTAGATTTCATCTTTCTGTATCATTTTTGGGTCTGGATTGTTCCGTGAGGGTCCTTTTGCCTGCGCTGCTTCAGGATGCCGAAGGAGTTCCTCGGGGATTCGCCACGCTGCCGCCCGTGCCGACTCGCGGGTGCCTCGTGGGCGCCCCGTGCGCCGGGTGGGTTCCCCCAGGATCCACCACCGTGCCACCCGCACCGCCTCTATAGGGCGCTCGTGGGTGCCCCGCTGGAGGAGCCACACAGTTTACACCACACAGCTCGCGCAACATGGCTTAGACACGATGTATTGCTCATGCCGCGCAGCTTGCGCCACGTTGCTTGAGCAGCATAGCTTTCACCACCAGTTCACACCGCATAGCTTACACCACATAGCTCACACCACATAGCGTGCATCGCGCAGCTTTTGTTTACGTAGCTCGCACGACATGGCTTTCACCCGAGCTCACACCGCATGGCTTTTACCTTCACGGTGCAATAACCCCTGTCTGTGGCCCACGCCGGCTAACGCTCGTCGATGCTCTGTCTCCCAGAGGCTTGCGCGGGCAGAGAGGCTAACGTCCTGGAGTCCCCGTCCCGTGGATTCTGTTGCATCTTCGGGGGACCTCGCCTGTCCCAAAAATGGGTGTCTTTTGGGGGGCCCGACGCGGGCTCGATGCGGACTCGACGCGGATTTGGTGCGGATTCGACGCGGGTTCGACACGGATCCGACGCGTCCGACACGGATTCGACACGGTCCGACACGGATTCGACACGGATTCGACGCGGGCAGGGCCGCGACGGGACAGACAAGGTCCCCCGAGGATGCAACATAACAGAGGCTTGCGCGGACAGAGAGGCTAACGTCCTGGAAATCCCCGTCCCGTGGACACCCTGCCCTCCGGAGGGGCAGGGGCGTCCCTGGACGAGCAGGCGCAGGGCGAGGGGCCGGGCCAGGGGGCCCCTCTCCGGGGAGCAGCGGCTGCTCGGGCGGGCGGCAGTGCGGGGTGGCCTCTCAGCGATGGGGGCGAAGAAGGGGGCCCCGGCGGGGCCCTTCAACTTGGCATCGCTCGGACGTGTGCATTTTTCCTTCGGCGAGGACCATCGAGGAGCATCCTTGAGCATATGGCGACGAAAGAACCACGCACGAAACCGAAAGAAAAACACGGGGAACGGACGTCCGAGCGAGGGCCAGTCGAGGGCCCCTCTTGGGGCCCCTGCTGGCTCCAGCAGGGGGCCCCACAGGCCTCCACTGGGGGCCCTCCTCTTCGCCCCCCTTTGAAGTTCGGGGATGGGCGGACCTCCTACTTGGCGGCGCGCAGAGGGGGGTAGGGGGAGGGGGGAAGGCTTCTTAGAAGCACCCCTGCTTCTTAGAGGGCGCGGGCCTTCTCTATAGACGTAAGGCCGAGGCCTTCTAAGAAGCAGGGCGCTTCTAAGAAGCCTTCCCCCCTCCCCCTACCCCCTTTTGCGCGCCGCCAACCTACCCTGACACGTCGATTAGTGAATTGTCCGTTTTCGGTTCTCGGGAGGGCGCCGCGGCCGGCATTTTCCAGGCTTGCGCCCGCCAGGTTTGGGCCCGAGGTCGTTTGCACGAAACCACGTTTTACTAAAGGGAGGTCTGTCCATCCCCGATAAGTCACCGCCCGCTACCCCCCCCCCCCGCCCGACTCTGGCTGACGCCGAGACTATCTCGATTGCCTGGTGAGCAGTGCGCATGCTGCCCGTCATGCTGGCAGGAACTGCACGGTAGATGGAAGGATATGGACTCCCTTCCCCCCCCTCCGCCGCACCCTCCTGACCTTGGCATCGCTCGGACGTGTGCATTTTTTTTCGGCGAGGACCCTTGAGGATCATCCTGGACCATCGGGCCAACACAACACGCAAGAAAGCGGAAAAATACACGGGAAATGGACGTCCGAGCGACGGCAAGTTCCCCCCCCCCCGCCGCACCCTCCTGGCCCTCGTCGCAGCCAGCAGCGAGTTTAGGGGAGGACTTGGAGGGGGATGAAGGCTGTCTCTTCAGAACAGGGGTGGACCGAAGCGGTGTTCTGGCGATCTCGTGGGCCATTTTCGCTTCGATCTCGTTGTGCGTGACAGGCGGATTGAAGACAGCACGAGGGAGAGCGCAAACGGAACGAAAACGGAGAACACCGTTTAGGTTCAGCCCTGCCCCAGGAGGAGGAGGAGGAGGAGGAGGAGGAGGCCTCGCCTCCAAGACGCCGGCATGGCCTCGGGGCCTCCACGCGTCCCGGCACTCAGCCGAGCAGCGCCCCTGTAGCGGCAGCTCGGCTGCCCTGGAGGGCGTCCGGCAGCGGGGTGTGCCAGCTTCCCCATCTACAGTCGGGGCGCTGAAGAAGGAACCCTTGTCGTTGGGGAGGGGCTCGGTGTTCCTTGACTGTTCTACACCTTGCCTAAGGTTTTCCTTACATGTTCGATGGGAAGTCGAAGTTTAACTTATGGAGAAAGGGGCCTCGTTCCTTATTTAGGGTTCCTTAGGTCAACGCCTCGACTGTAGTGTGCCGTCCAGGATCCCAGCTGTGAGGACAAGAACCACACAGATGTTCTGATGCAGATGCTGGCGTGGTCGCGCGGCACCAGGAAAGTCGACGCCAGTGCTCGGTGCTCCTTCGACACCGCCGCTCCCAGGCACGACCAGCCGCAGAACAAGTTCTGCGAGCTCCTGAGGGGCTTCTGCAACGACGAGGACCACGGCGAGAAGGTCCGGTCTGTGTGCTGTGGCACTTGCAGCCAGCCGTGCGAGGACAACGACGAGGCTGTCATCAAGGTGGCAAATTCTTCAACCGTCGGGCAGGACTTCACCTCGTGCGGAGCTCTAAAGAGAGCCGGCCTCTGCGCTGCTGCGAGGGAAGCTTGCTGCAGCACTTGCAATGATCCGCCACCGTGCCCGTGTGATGAGGGACGGTATAGCACACAGGATGATTGCGCCCTTTTCAGTGCAGACGGATGAGCGTAGGACTACGTACGCATTTCATGTCGGGGCTTTCTGAAATAATGGTAGTGAAGAGCCCATCCACCCCCTTCCTCGCTTTTCCTCTCCTTCACCCTCCATATCCTGCTCGTGTTACCCTTTAGCAAGGCTAGGGTGTACAACACTTATGGGTACATTTGTATGCACTTTTGCATGCGCTTCTGGCGTCGGGTGAGTGGGTCGGGCGTTCTGGGAGGGTCTTGGGACCGTCTTAGGGGCTTCGCTCTGCCGTCTCCAAGACGTCTTGGTCCCTGTTGAGGTCGACAATGACACCAGAGAGTAAATGGTAGAGGGCGAACTCTTACGATGTAGTGCGACTGGGGGGGGCACCACTGGAACGAAAAATCAGAAAACCGTGGAAGGCATCTCAGATGTATCCCAATACGCCCCAGCTTGCGAGGGATACCTTAGCCTTCCAGCCGTCAGACTTGAGCACTGTGTGGAGCTGCTTCCACTCGACCGCACGCTTGCCCGTAGACCTGGACCCGCGCGCGTACTTTGCTGCTCTTCTGAAGTGCCGAGTGATCTGACATGTCCCGAACTAGCGACCATGGGCGTCGTATTACCGATGATCGCCTCTAGGACGAGCACATGATCCAGGGTCGTCCAGGCCCACTCCCCCATCCCGTTGTTGTGGCGTCAATTGCTGCGTCCGAGTCCCCGTGAAGCTTGCTGAGCCGTGTCCTCCCCGCTCGGCCACAGGGAGGTCCAGTTCGAGAAGGCTCAGTGAGGGACTGCCAACTCTTCTTGCAGTCCCCCTCTTGCTGAACTGTGAGGTGGTTCGGAGCAGGCACTCAGGAGCCCATCAGAGGAGAGGTCGAAAGGCCACTACTTAGTGATAGGCCAGCGGGGTATGTAGTGGGAGGGCGAGGGCGTGAGGGGCCCGCTTTGGGAGGAGGGTGGTGAGGGCGAGGGGCTCGACTTGGCGCCGGAGTGGCGGCGAGCGGCACGATGTGGCGCCGGTCACCCCTGTCACCCCTCTTCCCCCCCTGTTGGTGGCGAGTCCTGGAGCCTGCCTCCGGCACATCCAGAAGTGCTTCACGCTCTCAGGGCGCTCCAGCCGTCCGCGGCCCTCCCCCCCTGCTCCCGTGTGCGCAATTCGCTTCCATCGCGCCTCGCCGTCAGCCGACCGCCTGCTGGACCCAGCTCGCAGCTGGTCGAAAAGTGTGGGGCGGGCGGGGACGGGTGGGCGGTGAAGGGGCTCGATGTGGCGGCGGTCCCTACAGGGTGGGGAGGGTCTCGGTCTGCTTCATCCTCATGTGCATCGTCATCATCGCCTGCTGCTCTTCGTCCTCTTCCCTTCAGCTCCACCGTTGCCTGCCGCTGCTCGTCCTCCTACCCCTCCTCCTCCTCCTCCTCCTTCTCCTCCGCCTCCTCCTCCTCCTCTTTCAGGGACAACGGTAGAGAGGGATAGGCATAGGCGGGGGGATGCATCGACCCCCAGTCGCCCATTGATCGCTGTTAGGGCCCCAATAGCCCCAGCCCGCCCAGGAACCTGCGGATTCACGATCGGAGACCTGTCGCCGATTTATTGGCGATGTATCGCCGATTCCGATGTGTCCTCCGCTTCCCCCCTATCATTGCCCCTCACTCTTCCCTCTCTTCTTCCTCGTCCTCCTCTTCCTTCTCCTCCTCCTCCTCCTTCTTGACGTCGGGAGAACTTGAGCCGCGGGGCAATAGCGTTCTACTCTCGTGAGTGCAAACAAATGTAAAGTCCGACTTAGCGATGTGCAAACTATTTAAGCAGGTGGCACGTGCAGATCGGGAAGGGCAAATATAGATTGAAGTCAGGCAGAGAAGCCCAGTTGGGCACAGAGCAACGAAGCCTCGCTCCTCCTCCTCCTGCTCCTCCTCCTCCTCCTCCTCCTCCTCGTCCTCTTCCCTCCTCCTCCCTCCTCCTCCTCCTCCCTCCTCCTCCTCCTCCCTCCTCCTCCTCCTCCTCCTCCTCCTCCTCCGCCTTGTCGTCACCCCCGGACCCTCTCCCTGGAAGCCCAGGCCCCCTGCGCTCTGCAGGCCGCTCCCGCGGGGGCCTCCCGGCGGGCCTCCGCCTCCCTCCCCCCCAGGCTGTCTGGGCGGGGGTAGGCTGCACCGGTCTGCAACGTATCCCTGCCCCTGTGTGTTGGCATCACCTCTCCCCAATTAGTGCTTCGCGCGGCCCGCCTAGCTCTTAACCTGAAGGGGCCCGCTCCCGACCCGCCGACCAAAAGTGTTTGGCATCACCTCACCTCGATGCCGATCTCAAGGATCACCTCAGTTTCTGAGGGCGCATCCCTGAGCTTGTCCTCGCTTCTTGCTCGCCCACCTTAGGGATAGGGACAAGTTCGAGGCCGGTTAGTAGTGGGGGCATACGAAGGGGCCCAGGGACACATAAATAAGCAGGCACACATCCCAGGATTTCTCCTACTGTTTCACATGTTCTGTCCATATTTTTTCGGTGAGTCCTGGCAACTCCGAGATCCATCCCCTCCTGGGGGAGGACGCAGGCACCCTCGCCTCGACCCCCGAAGAGGCACCAAAAACTGTTTTTGGCGCCCCGCGCGGATTTCGATCTGCGCTGGGCCCCCCGGCGCAGATCCAAGAAATCCGCGCCGAGCGCCGACGGCTTATGCTTGTGCCGTTCTTTGTCCCGCTGAGGACGTATCGGAAACTGGAACAATGTACATTACCAGTGGCGGGTTGTTTTTTTCAATCCCAAGGCCTTTTAAGGGTGGGGGCCGACGTCGTGGTGGTGTGGTGTATGCTTTTCCCCCGCTTGCCAAGGGGAACAACGGAAAATGTATACCAGGATCCCGTCTACACCAGGATCCGCGCTCCCGGGCGAATTTCGGCGCAGGGTCGGAGAAAGCGTCGGTGTACAGATCAGGAACAAAACGACCACACAAACATAATAACAGTACCCTTTTGGCGCATTTCCGCGAAGAGCGGCTGAGACCGATTCGCAACAAACATAGGCCAATGCTCGCACCAGTTCGTCCGTGCTGCCGCAGTTCCCCCAAGTGCGCAAACGCCCAGAGTTCGGGGCACCCTCGACCCCCGGACCACGCCCAGCTGCTTGCCGCGCCTCCCGCCCTGCCTGCCCGGCACTCTGGGCGGCGGCGGTTCGAGCGGGGGGGGTGGCCAGGCCGGGTCGGCCGGCGTCGGTCCCCCCACCCACGGCCGCTTGGACAGGGGGGGGCGCAGGGGCCCTCGACCCTGGATCCCAGAAGCAGCTGGTTTGGCCGATCCCCCCGAGGATGCAAAGATTGAATCGCTCTTAGGGGAGGAGGAGGAGGAGGAGGAGGAGGAGGAGGAGGAGGAGGAGGAGGAGGAGGAGGAGGAGGAGGAGGAGGAGGGGAGGAAGGGAGGAAGAAGAAGAAACAAAAACAGATGCTCCATCAGGCGCACCTTCCACGCCAGTGGTGGCCGCACACACTGCTTCAGCCCCACGAAAGCCTCCGACGCCTGCCTCCGTCCTGCTGCCGCGGCTCCCGGCCCGTTGGAACGTACACCCAGGTGGTAACCATTGCCGTGGGCCTGCGCGGCCCCGCCGTGCACGCAGGCCCTGCTGTCGTGGTAAGCCTTCCTTGCCGCCATCTTTGCGTGGCGCCTCATGGGCACCGACGGCAGGGTCTCCTCTGCAATCGAAGAAGAAAATGCGCCAAAAGTTTCTGCTTGTGGCGTTTTTTCTTCTATTCCTTGCCGCTGTCTATGCGTGGCGTCTCATGGGCACCGACTGCCGGGTCTCCTCTGTAATGCTGCGCTGGATGCGCCGAGCGCGCCGATGGCGGCCGCGCTGATGGCCTCGCACCTCGCAGTGCTGATTTACGTCGGCCTACCAGGCCGTTAGCGCTTCATCGTCCAGCAGTTATGGCCTCAGGATGGAAAGCGCTTGGTGTAGTCAGGCATCGGTCTTTTGGTGCACACCCTAACCGCTTCAGCATCACGTGGTGACCAGCAGGAACTTGATTGACTGACTACTACTGACTACTCTGTATGTCAGTGCCCAGCTCGGCATCAGTTGTCTTCAACGCTGGCGCAGGCTTATGTTGTTCGTGATGGTGTTGCCGATGTTGCTCTTATGGCTCTGCGACTCGACGATCATCGACGGTCTGAACTTGCCTTGGGCCTGCCCATAGTCTTGGCATCGCTCGGACGTGTGCATTTTTTCTCGGCTGGGGCCATCGAGAAGCATCCTCGACCATCGGGCCAACAAAACACGCACGAAACCGACAAATGCACAGGGAAGGGACGTCCGAGCGATGGCGACTAGTCGTTCTGATGACTTCTCTTTGTTGGATTGCCTCTTTGGCTCGACCTGCCCTCGGTATGTAGCGCATGTGGCGATGCCGCCTCGAGCTCCAGTTCGTCAGTCATGACTTCGACTGTGATCATGCGCTCTTCAAGTTGCAGCGCCCCAGCTTTCGCAGAGCAGATCTTGATCTCCTTTACCCCTCTAGCGACCGTCTGGATGATCTCAGCCAGCAGCTCGCATCCTCGATTCTTCCTCTCGCCGCACGAGGAACAGGCAAGTCATGTATTGGCCGCGGTTGTAGCTTCTTTTATCTGTCCGCGTCGTCTGCAGCGCCATCAGGTGGACACCAGCCTGCACGATGCCAGCACGATCTGGACTTCGAGCGTACCACCCTTGCTTTTCAGAGCAAAGTTCACCTGCTTCAAGAATAACCCCATGCTCACGATAATAAACACTAGGGGATAATAAAGTTCGGGGTTCAGGGGGAGATAATCAAAGTAGCCCACCAGGCCTCAGCATAATCTCGAAGTAAGAGATGATCAAGAGGAGACCAAACCGAGCACGTTGTGAGACATCCTTGGCATTTAGTCTTCATTAAAATATCCTCAACAATTGCTTATCTCGCTGGAGACATCCTCGACAAATCCCTTGTTTCGCTTGAGACATCCACAAACTATTGCTTATTTCGCTTGAGACACCGTCAAACTATTGCTTATTTCGCTTGAGACATCCTCGAAATAATTGTGTTGTTCGCTTGAAACATCATCAGACTATTGCTGATTTCGCCTGAACATCCTGAAACTATTGCGTATTTCGCTTGAGACATCCTGAAATTATTGCTTATTTCGCTTGAGACACCGTCAAACTATTGCTTATTTCGCTTGAGACATCCTCGAAATAATTGTGTTTTTTATTCTCGAAGGTCTCATTGTCTGGTTCTGCTCTCTGAGCAGCCATCTGCTTGAGCAGCTCTGCTTCAGCAGCTCACCTTGAGCAGAGAGAGATAGTGAGAGAAAGAGGAGAGAGGGAGGGAGGGAGAGAGAGAGAGAGGTGAGACTCTCTCTCTCTCTCTCTCTCTCTCCCGCCGTGCGCTCCTCTGAGGTTTATTATCGTCGGCAGTTTTTTATCATCGGCTGAGGTTTATTATCGTCGGCAGTGTTTTATCATCGGCAGTGGTCAATCGCAACTCCTGAGCTCTCCCGGAAGACGGCGGCACGCAAATGATACGCATTTTTTTAAAAAACTTCATTTTGACAAAAAAAAAACAAACTTTTTAAAATTGCGAATTCCATTGTAATCCTTTCAAAATTGCGAAATCGAGCCGTCAGGCGTTTGAATGCCACATTGCATTCGAGATTTAAGCACGCGACGCATTTATGAGAAATTTGCGTCGCACGCGCTTTTGCCCGAATATCGAACGCAGTGTGGCATTCAGGCGCGTGCAGGTTCGAATTCGCAATTTCGAAAGGATTTCAATGGAATTCGCAACCAAATATAGTATGATTTGTCAACATAAGGTTTTTCAAAAAAAATGCGTGTCATGAGAAAATTGCGTCGCACACGCTTTCGCCTAAATCTCGAACGCAGTGCGGCATTCAAGCGCCTGACGGCTCGATTTCGCAAATTCGAAAAGATTTCAATGGAATTCGCAATTAAATAATATATTTTTTTTTCAAAATGAAGTGTTTCAAAAACATGCGTATCATTTGCGTGCCGCCGTGTTCCCGGAGAGCTCAGGAGTTGCTATCGACCGCTGCCGATGATAAAAAACTGCCGACGATAATAAACCTCAAGAGGTTGTGCTGAGGGGTTGTGCTGCAGGGTTGTGCTGGAGGGTTGTGCTGGAGGGTTGTGCTGGAGGGTTGTGCTGGAGGGTTGTGCTGGAGGGTTGTGCTGGGGGGTGCTGAGAGAGAGAGAGAGAGAAGGAACAAAAAAAGAAGATAAACAGATTTTTCAAAATAAGAAAGATATAACACATTTCGCAGATATATATATATATATATTTTTTTTAAGCAAAAACAATCTTATAATACAGAAGAAGAATAAGAATAATAATAAGAAGAGGAGAATATATATATATATATATATATAGAAAGAAAGACAGATAGAGGAGGAGGAGGAAAAACAAAAAAATCAAGTTTCACATCCATCATATTTTATTTAGAAACGCTTTACGAAAATTGAGAAAGAGAGAGAGAGAGAGAGAGAAGAAGAGGAGATAATGAAAAGCAAGAGAGGAAGGAGAGGAGGAGAGGAAAGGAGAAGACAGGAGAGGAGCAAGAGGAGAGAGAGATAGAGAAACAGAGAGAGAAAAAAGACAGAGAGGAAATAAAAAAAACTATCAGATTTTCCATGGATAATCAACCCCAGGGGTAAACAAGTTCAGGGGGGCATGGGGGGGAGAGAGACAGAGAGATAGAAAGAGAGAGAAGAAATAATGAAGATGAAGAGGAGAAGAAACATTCAAGAGGAGAAGTAGAAGAGGAGAGGAAGAGGAAAAGCAAAAATTTCAAGTTCCAAATCTATTATATTTTATTTACAAATGCTTTATGATTGTTTTTTTGAGAAAAAAAAGTGCTCGTGTAGGAGCTCATGTGCCTCACTTTCCGTGGATAATCAACCCCAGGGATAAACAAGTTCAGGGGCGCATGGGGAGAGAGAAAGATATAAAGAGAGAAATAAAGAAAACAAAGAGAGAGCTGAGGGAAATACATAAAGAAACATTAAAAAAAGGAAAAGGACAAGAAGAAATGAGGAGAAGTAGAAGAGGAGAGGAAAGGAGGACAAAACAAAAAGTCTGGAGATTCAAATGTATTAAATTTCTATTTGCAAACGCTTTATGAACATTAAAATTTTTAAGTGCTCGTGTAGGGTAGCTCATGTGCCTCACTTCCCGTGGATAATCAACCCCAGGGATAAACAAGTTCAGGGGGGCATGGGGAGAGAGAGAGAGAGGAAAAACATAACGAAATAAAGAAATATATAAAGAAATAAAAAGATAAATTAAGAAAAAAGAAGGAGAAGAGAAGAGGAAGAAAAAGAGCAACAATTTCAAGTTTCAAATCTATTAGATTTAATTTACAAACGCTTTCTGAAAATTGATTTTTTTGAGTGCTCGTGTAGGGTAGCTCATGTGCCTCACTTGCCATGGATAATCAACACCAGGGATAAACAAGTTCAGGGGTGCATGGGGAGAGAGAGGAAATAAATAAAGAACTATATCAAGAAATGAAACTATAAATTAAGAAAAAAGAAGGAGAAGAGAGAGAAGAGGAAGAAAAAGAGCAATCCTCGAGTATATGCTTGTTTCGCTTGAGACATCCTCGACAAGCTTCTCGAATCGCTTGAGACATCCTCGCAGAATTGCTGGTTTCGCTTGAGACGTCCTTGAAACATTGCTCGTTTCGTTTGAGCCTGCCTCCCAAAATTCTTGGTTTCGCTTGAGACTCCTCACAGAATTGTTGTTTTCGCTTGGGACATCCTTAAGAAACGTATCGTTTCGCTTGAGACATCCTTCAGTATATGCTTGTTTCGCTTGAGACATCCTCGAGTATATGCTTGTTTCGCTTGAGACATCCTCGACAAGCTTCTCGAATCGCTCGAGACATCCTCGAGTATATGCTTGTTTCGCTTGAGACATCCTCGACAAGCTTCTCGAATCGCTTGAGACATCCTCACAGAATTACTGGTTTCGCTTGAGACATCCTTTCGTTTGAACCTGCCTCCCAAAATTCTTGGTTTCGCTTGAGACATCCTGAAAAAAGTGTGATCGCTTCGCTTGACGTTGCTATTTCAACATAACTTGATCTTGCTATCTCAACATAACGTTCCGAGGTGATAATGGAGTTTGGCCTCCGCGCCCCGCGCCCCCGACCAAACTCTTATTGGTCGACGATAAAAAACTCTAACGACTTAAGGGGGGGTACATTATTATCGTGGGCATGGGGTTACCCAGTACAAGGTCGGAGAAAGGCTAAATCCGTCTACGGTATATTCCTGTTCTAGACGAGGTCCCACATGGTATTCCAACCCATGCTGGCCTTGGCCTTATTCGCTTTGGCGTTCACCTTATCAGCAGGCCGCCTTCTGAAATTGATGAGGTAGGAGCCTGCAGCGATCGGGCGTTGTTGGTGCATATGCTCAATGCCACCTCCTGTCTGGTCGCGGTAGTCGTTGTTCCTCGCTTGATCAGTCTTCTGATCCCTTCCCTCCATCCTCCCCTTTCTTCCTTTCTCCCTCTTCTACTCATTCTGCTCCCTCCCTCTTTCCCTCCATCCCCTCCTTCCCTCCATCTCAGTACGTAGCACGCCGATTTTCCCAACGGCGCCGACAGTGTCAGGGGAAGTCAGCGGATGGTAGCGTGGATCCCAGAATCTTGCCGAGTGCACAGAAACGAGTCGGACGAAGTGCCCGCGCCGCCCGCAGTGTTTGTTGCGCAGTGGGCCGACTCCGCCTTCAGGATCTTGCAACTGTTTTTGTTGGCGCGTCTGGGCAATGGTCACGCGTCGCACCGACGGCTCGTCCATTGCAATACGCACGTTTTTCCCTCGCATGTGTTAGGATGTATTGGGTGCCACGCAGCGGCTGTAGAGTACCAGACTGCATCGCAAGGAGCTCGCGTGATACGGTCTCGCAGTCTGCATCCCTCGCCTGTTCATGCAGTCCAGGGCGGCCAGGGGAAGTCGATTCCCATGCAAGGTGCCTGCACCTCCCTGCGCCCGGGGCGACGGGAAACGTTCGTCCGCCCCTGCTGGCCTGGAGGTGCAGGCGTCAGGCGACTGGCTGTCGAGTGGAGGAGCGAAGGGGACAGCCAGGGGCCGGGGAATGCTCTGAGCGGCTCACCACTTTGGCCCGCTTGGAAAAAGGCGCGTGGTGGTTCGGGGAAGCGTAAGACTCGGGTACGCCGGGGCCCGGGTTTTGCCGAGTTTTTTTGGCGAGCGCGGCCTGGATTTTGAGGGTCAAGTTTTCGTGGGACGTTTTCAGCGGGAGTTCGCGTCAAGTTTCAGATTGGGCCTCGTCATTTTCATGATGGCCCCGTCAGGCCAACTCAAGTCCCCGAACCCGAGTCTCACGTCTCCCCTAGTGGTGGTGGTGGTCTCCAGGTCTCTCAGACTGTGCCAGAGCAGATGGGGGCGGAGGATCCTTATTTTCGCCATCCCGGCAGCGCCCACGCACTGGCGACGAGGTGCGATCTTCCCAGCCCGATCTCTCCCCGACCCATCTGGCAGGCCTCGAGGGTCCGCCCGGAGGCGGACGCGCGGCCAGCTGGGAGCGGTTGCCTCCTGGGCTGGGTCCTGTGTCGGCTGCTCCTCTCTCCAGTGGCCTTTGGGCCTCTTGGACGCACGTGACGGGTCCTCGGGCGGCCTCTCGGAAGCCTCTTGGAGGCGGTTCTGGGGACGTGGGGTGTCTCAAGGCGCCTCGGGTGCTTCTTGGGGGCTTCTTGGGGCTTGACTTTCGCCTTTGCGGGGCCTCCTGGGGCGCCTGCCAGCGCCTGCCGGCGGTCTCGGGGGTCATCTTGAGGCGGAGGGCGCGAAATATCAGCTCGTGTTCCCCCTCTGGGGCCTCTCTTGGGCCCCGCTTGGGGCCCGTCCTGAGGGCCTCTTTGGCCGTCTTTGGGCCCTCTGGGGCCGTGTGGGAGCCCTCGTTGGGGGCCTCTTGGGGAGATCTTCGGCGCCGTCTTGGAGCGTCGCAAGCCCGAAAAGGAGAGAACGCAGAAATCGCTCAAACACCAAAGAGAAATAATCGATGGAGTTGGCCTCTTGGGGCCTTCTGGGGCGCCCTCTTCGAGTCAGGAATATTTGGCCGTCTTGCGGGCATCTTGGGGCGTCTTGGAGATTCTTGGCCCCTTTCGGAGGTTGCCTGGGACTCCTGGCCCTTCTTGGGACCCTCTCGCCTCCAGAAAAAGTCACGCACGCGACCCGAAACGCGTGCGCCCGAGAGATCCATGGAGCCGTGCTTTCGGCCCTTTACGTAATAGCTCCAGTATCTAAGACGCCTACGGCGAATCACCGCCGCCCCCTGCCTTTTGGAATCGCCCATGTGGCCGAGAGTTGTGGCAAGAGCTTTGCCAAGCTATCGGACCATGTGTTCCCCCAGCCGTTGTAGAAACTCTTCGGGGAAAACTTGGGGGAGGATGGCGGGGAAGATCAGTAGGAGGAGGAGGAGGAGGAGGAGGAGGAGGAGGAGGAGGAGGAGGAGGAGGAGGAGGAGGAGGCCGGGGGGCACTCTTGCGGCCTCCTGGGAGCTTCTTGGAGGCCTCTTGGAGGCATCTTGGGGGCCTCCTTGGGCCTCTTGGGAGCCTTTGGAGCCTTCTCTGGGGCTTGTTTTGCCGTCTTGCAGCATTCCTGGCCCGTCTGACGCCGTCGGAAGTCGTCTTCGGGGCCTCTCTGGGCCGACTTGGGGCCCTCTTGGGGTGCTCCAGGGCCGTTTTGGAGGTCATCTTGGGCGTCTTGGAGGCCTCTTGGGCCCTTCTGGGGCCCTCTTGGAGGCTTCTTGGGCGATCTTGGGGCGGTCTTTGGGGGCTCTGCAGCCGTTTCGGGCCGTCGGAAGGCCGAAAAGAAGCAAATGCCAACATTCTTCAAACACCTTACGAAGATCAATGATTTTGGCCTCTTCGGGCCTTCCTGGAGGCCCTCTTGGGGGCCTCTTGGGCCGTCTTGGAGGCCTCTTGGTGGCCTTTTGGGCCGTCTTGGACCATCTTGCAGCCATCTTGGGCCGTCTTGAGATGCTCCAGGGCCGTCTTGGAGGCCATCTTGGGCGTCTTCGAAGCCTCTTGGGCAGTCTTGGGGCCCTCTTGGGGCTGTCTTGAGGGCCTTCTGGGCCCTTCTGGGGCCATCTTGGATGCCTCTTGGGTGATCTTGGGGCGATTTTTGGGGGCTCCGTCTTGGGGGTCTCTTGGGCTGTGCTGGGGCCATCTTGGAGGCTTCTGAAGCGATCTTGGGGCGATCTTTTGGGGCTCTTGGGTCGTCTCGGGCCGATGGGAGGCCGAAAAGAAACACATGCCAAAATCAGTCAAAAACCCACAATGAACGATGTTGGCCTCTTCGGGCCTTCCTGGAGGACTTCTGGGAGATCTCATGGGCCGTCTTGGAGGCCTCTATGAAGCCTGTGGGGCCGTCTTGGAGGCTTTTTGGGCGAACTTGGAGGCATCTTGGACTCTCTTTGGCCGTCTTCAAGGCCATCTTGGGCCATCTTGGGCGAACTTCGAGGCCATCTTGGGCGTCTTGGAGGCCATCTTGGGCTTCGTAGGGGATTTTGTTGCGGACGTTGTGCTCGTTGCCGGTCTCTTCCGGGTGAACGGCGGGACGGGCCGAAGCCCCAGGGGAGAGTCTTTTCGGGGGAAAAAAAAACCAAACCAGTAGGATCTAGCACGCCGGGCACCCTTGTGGCAAGACCACAGGGGGCGACGGATCTAATGGCCTTCGGCCCATCCCGCCACCGTGCCTGGGTTGTGGGTCAGAGTTTTCAGGGGTGCTCCTTGGGGTCTCTTCGGGGCGCTTTCGGGGGCCTCTCGGGGGCAGTTTTGGGGCCGCTTGGAGCTGTCTTCGGGGCCGTCTTGGGCGCCTCTTGGGCCATCTTGGGACCCTCTTGGAGGCATCTTGCACTGTCTTCGGGGTGATCTTTGGGGCCTCTAGGGCCGTCTGGGAGCGTCGGGAAGCCGAAAAGGCGAGAAGCCAAAAGCCGTCAGCAACTTATAGAAAATCAGCGATTTTCGCCTCTTGGGGCCCTCTTGGGGTGTATTGGAGGCCTCGTGGGCCGTCTGGAGGCCATCCAGGGCGTCTTGGAACGATCTTTCGACGACTCGGGGACCTGTTGAACCTTGGGAGTCTATCAGTGCCCTCTTGGCCCCTCTGGGGGCCCTCTTGCGCCCGAAAGAATAGCGCGAGAAGACGATCTGGCCCAGGGGCACGCGGCAAGCCCCGAGAGATTTGGCAATGCGGGGTCCGGGCCCCTGAAAGGCTCCTGAGGACTGAGAACTGGAGCTTCGGGGACTCTGCACGAACGAAAGGGGTACGGAAAGAATGGGTACACTGCCCAACAGCAGCTCCTGTTCATTTCGAACCGGACTCGCTGTCCGCGCCGCCGCGGCCTGTGTCCATTCGAGACAGAAGGCCGCCTGCCCAGCAGCGGCCGCTGTTGGTTTGGGACAACATTCGCTGTTGGGCATTGTACTCCAGATTTCCTAATAAAAAGGAGGGGGTCACAACCCTCCCACACGAGAAGTTTTAGACCCCCCCAGACCATCCATGAAAGGGCGGCCCTTTGCCCAGACCCCCCCGAACCCTCCAAGGACAGCTCAAATCAGACCCCCCCGAACCCTCCAAGGACAGCTCAAATCAGACCCCCCCCCAATGTGCCCCCCCACTTTATCATTGAAACCGGGGGTACCCATTCTTTCCGTACCCATTTCGGGCGTCCAAAGGGACTAGGTAGAGGTACCCAGCGGCGCGGCGGCAGATGAAAGTGTATTTCGGACGGGGCCAGGACGAGTATACACTGGCTCCAGAGCCTTCCAGGACGCTCTCAGAGTGTTGGCTGGTCCTCCCCCCCCCCCCTCCCCTTTTTGCCTCCAACCTGGCCCCCCTCGTGCCGCGGCCTCCCCCCTCCAGGGCCACGCCCACCTGCCCGATGGCCGTCGCCCTGTCCTTGGTCGACGCCCCCCGCCATGTCTTCCCAGCTCTCGCCGATCCCTCGTGCGAGAGCCAGGGGTCGGCCAGGTCTCGTGCCGCCTGCACAGAGAGCTCGAAGGACCCGAGGACACTCCACTCCGTGCCGCGAGGCACGCTGGTGGCTTGTTCGGCCAGCCAGCTCCCTCCTCTCCCCTCCCTCTCTCTGTCTCTGTTTCTCTCTCTCTCTCTCTTCCTCCCCCTCTCTCTCTTTCTGTCTCTCTTTCCTTTTTTTTTGTTCTCTCTCTCTCGATCTCTATCGCCTCTCTCTCTCTTTGTCTCGGGGCTGTCTCAAGGGGAGGAGGAGGAGGAGGAGGCAAGCTGGGAGGGGAGAGCATCCGCCCTCCGTGCCGCAGAGGCACTGCTCGGCAGCGCCAGCGCCGTGACTGGCAGCATCGGCTCCGGACGCACCTCGCGGCTCGCCACGGAGGCCTCGCGCGCCTCTGTTCCTCCTCTTGCTCCTCGTCCCCTCGTCCTCGTTCTCGTCGTCGTCCTCCTCCCGTCCTCGTCCTCGTCGTCTGCGCCATCCGTTTCCCTCGTCTCGGAGGCCCGCGCAGACGTCTCGGCTCGGCGCTGGACCCCCATGGCGGCGCGGGCTGGCAGCACTCCTCCGCGCGCCAGGGCAGTGACGATCCAGTGCCGACGCAGGAAATCTGGGCGGACCTCCGAATGTTCATGTGTGTAGCTTGTAGCTGCTTGTTTTTCTACCTTACCCTGCCCCCCTTCCCGGTACAGCTCGCCTCCCTGCCGTTGCGAAGGCCTCAAGGCCAGTGCCGCCGACCCTGAATGGGGGAGGACGACGACGACGACGACGACGACGACGACGACGGCGACGACGACGACGATGACGACGACGACGACGACGACGACGACGACGACGACGACGGCGGCGGCGGCGGCGACGGCGACGGCGACGGTGGCGACGGCGGCGACGGCGACGGCGACGGTGACGGCGACGGCGACAGCGACGGCGAAAAACATGGAAAGACTCAAACATCCATGAATTTATCCTCATCGGGGTTTTCCTGGGAGTGCTCTTGGGGCTCTCTTGGGCCTCTTAGGGTGCTTCTCGAGGATAGCTGCTTGTGCTTCTATCTTCCCCTGCTCCCCTTCCCGTTTCCGTTCGCCTCTCTGCTATCTACCTGCCGGTCGTTGGAAGTAGGTATTTCTAGATTTCCAGATCCCAGTCTACTTCAAGCAACTTCCTATTTCAATGATCCGCATGCTGCTGTTGTTTTTGCAATTATTTAGGCGGGCCCGAGCCCAATCAACTTTGTCCGCCTTCCTACTTCATTTTTGTTTTTGCTTCTTCCGACCGCCGTGGAATGGCCTGCGGCCCATCCCGCCACCGTGCTTGGGTTATGGATATGAAGCGTATTGGATGTTCGGTGGGATCTCGTGGGATGCCTCTCGAGGTCCTCTTGGAGTCGGTTTTGATGCGTCTTTGGGGCTGTTTTGGGGTCCCTTGGGGCCTCTTTTGGGGCCTCATGGGGCCTCTTGGGGCGGGAGGCTCGGATTTTCGCTTCGTGTTCCCTCTCTTGGGCCCCTTTCGGGGCCGTCGTGGGGCCCTCTTGGGCCCTCTTGGGCGCCTCTTGGGTCGTCTTGGGGCGCTCTGAGGTCGTCTTGCAGCCCTCTTAGGAGGCCTCTTGGGCCGCATTGGGGTGGTCTTGGGGGCCCCTTGGGCCGTCTTGGAGAGTCGGAGAGCAGAAGAGGCGAGACCGCTAAAATCTTCCAAAAAACCTGCGGGGAATTAATGGTTTTCGCCTCTTGGGAGGCCTTTTGGAGGCCCTTTAGGCGTCTTGGAGGCCTCTTGGGCCAACTTGAGGCCATCTTGGGCGTCTTGGACTGATCTTTCGGCGACTCGGGGCCCTCTTGGACCGTCTTGGGGGGCCTCGTGGGGCCCTCTCGGCCCGTCTTGAGGCCCTCCTGGGCCCGAAGAACTCGCGCGGCAAGCCGCGGGGGAGCCCCGGGGGCACGCAGGAAGCCTCGCCAAATTGGAGAATTCGGGGTAAGGGCCCCTTAGAAACTCCACTGGAGCGCTTTAGGGATTAGGCAAAGGACCTGAGGACACGCCCACTCCGAGCCCAGCGGCACGGCTCGGCCCTCCTCGTTCTCTCGTCCTCCTCCATCTCTTCCTCCTCGTCCTCGTGCTTGTCTTCTTACTCGTTGTCTTCCTGCTCCGCTCGCTGCCCTCCCCGTCGTCCACGTTGTCATCCTCGTCATCCGCCGCCCTGTCGTCGCCATCATCTTGTCCCCCATGCAGTGGAGACCCATGCCAAGAAACACCCTGCTTGCCTCCAGGGGGCCCTGGGTTTCTTGGATTTTGATGTTTTTGCCATGGCAAGCGTGACGTTCCCACACCAAAAAATCCGTGGGCCTCCTGTTGTCTCAGGGTTGGGTTTCTTGTGGGAGGTCTCTTGTGGACCAGCCTCCACTGTGCGAGCCCAACGAACAGCATCGGCGCTTCCTGTTGTTGTCTGGTCAGGCTTCTGCGCTTGCTTTCTTCGAAGAATCACGTGGGCGGCGCTGCGGCGGCCTGCGAGCGGGTAAGGGCTTCGGCCCATTCCAGGGCCCCCCCCGTGCTGGGAGGTCTGAAGGGAGGGTGGGGGGCGGGCCAAGAGGGTGGTGATGACCTCGGGGGGGGGCATATCATGGCTGGGGCCATGATATCTCCACAGACGTTATGGGCTCTCTTCTTCTTCTACTTCTTGTTTGAATCATAGTATTAGGACTATTGCTATGGTTGTTATTTTTATGATGTGTATTCTTCATTGGTATTACTATCACTATAATTGTCAGTAGTATGTTTATTATGATTGCTATGCTTATCAGTATTGTACTTACGATTAGTATTAATATTACTATTATTGCTAGTGCTACCATTATTCTTATTATTAATATCATCATTATTATTGATATTATTATTATTAATATTATTATTAATATTATTATTGTTATTAGTATTATCAACATGATTACTAACATTATTATCATTAGCATTATTATTAGTGTTACTATTAGTAGTAGTATTATCGGCGATATGGACTTTATAGGTGATCGTTTTCTTATTCCTTGTTCTGCCGATCGGCGCGGGCCTTCGCGCCCCCCTCCCCTCACCCCCGCGGAGTGGATCCTGGCTGTTTCGGGCGCCTGTTTCGGGCAGGTGGAGTCTCCCCCGTGGCGCGCGCTGTCTCAAACAGTCGCACCAAGCAGAGGTTCGGAGCCAGACCCCCCCCCTCTCCCCTCCCTTCCGCCCAGTGTCGAAACGCCTGATAAGAAAACGCTCTTTAGGATAGCGAGAGCTGGAGAAGAGTAATGGTCAGTGCGTTTAGCTCCCTCGGCCCCTGGGTGTGGTCGGGGGTCGCACGTGCAGTCTTTCGCGGCGACGGCGAACAATTTAGAGCGCCTCGGCGCTGGCCTCCCATGTGTGGTGTCTTGTCTTGCCCTGCCGAGATGTGGTCGAGCGGTGCGCACCCCACGCGTCGTGACAGATGCGTGAAATCGAGGGTCTGTTGCTCTCCTGTCTTCTGCGTCCGCCCCTCGTTCACCTTTCTCCCGCCCCCGTCGGATCCGACTTCGCTCCCCAGGAGCTCTGGTGCCGGTTCTCCAGAGTGGTCTTGGCATCGCTCGGACGTGTGCATTTTCTCTCGGCCGGGGCCATCGGGAAGCATCCTCGGCCATCGGGCCCACAGAACGCGCGCGACACCGAAACATGCACAGGGAAGGGACGCCCGAGCGACGGCGAGCGGTGGGTCCAACCCTGGGTGTCCCGAGGCCTGGAGATGTGGCCTCCTGGATGTGTCCCAGTCAAGACCCGCTGTAAGCGTGCGGTCCGCACCCGAGACCGAAACAATGCACAGGGAAGGGACGCCCGGGTGACGGCGAGCGGTGGCTCCAACCCAAGTGGGCCCCGCCGAGGCCTGGAGGGGCGGCCTCCTGGATGTGGCCCAGGCAAGGCCCGCTGCATGAGCGTGCGGTCCGCCGGCCCTCCCTGGGCCACGTGCCCGAGGGCTGCTGGCACGACTCGCCGGCCTCGAACTTACCCTTATCCCTAGGATTGAGGCTCGAACTCGACGACGTAGGCCAAATCAAAAAAACGCCGGCCGGGTTAGCGTCACCCCAAACGGGCTCCGGTCAGATTCCCCCCCGGAGGCGACAGAGATGCACCACTGGAATTCCTAAAACACTTCGGACAGGAACCCAACTCCTATCGAGCACAACCCTGAGCTGCCGGATCTTATATATCTGACCCTGAGCACCGTGCACTAACACGAAAACTAAAAGTCCGACATTCTGCGGTGCGGTGGAGAAAAAAAAAGAAACAAATATCCCTATCCCTAAGATTGACACGCTAAAGGGAGATGACAATCTTAGGGATGCACCTGCAGAAACTGAGGAAATCCCCAAAGATCGCCATCGTGACGAGGCGATGCCCAACCTAGGGATAGGGATATGTTCCAGGCTGGTAAACAATGCCGCCGCAACTCGGGCCGGACGAAAGGGGGGGATAGGGAAAGGAGGGGGGTACGAAATCTGCTGCGTGCAGCTGGTTTCGGCCCCGCCGCTGGGCCCCTTCCTCGATGCATGGCCGCCTCCCGGCGCCGGGAGGCGCCGGGGAAAGCAGCTAGGTGAGCTGATTCTGAAGCCCCCCCTTTGCTATCCCCCCCTTTCGCCCAGCCCGAGCAGCTGCTTGCACGTGGACGTCCATGGGTGCCCCGCATCCTTCCTACGGGTGTGGACCGCAAAGGGCCGCTGCGGACCTCCCCGACGGTGTCCCTCCGCCGGCCACGTCCGCCTTGCGCCTGCACTCGCGCCCGCCAGATCGTGAAGCAGAGCCCCTACGTGGAGTCCTGCGCAGCGTTCAACACCTCTTACTCGGACAGCGGGCTGTTCGGCATTTACGGCGTGTGCCAGCCCGACAAGGTGTCGCTGCGCCGAGTCCTTTGCTGCGAGCGGGGCCAGGGGGGGGTCTGCTCAGACAGGGTCTCCAGCAGTCCAGCGGTGGGCCAGGCAGCAATTTTTCGCCCCCCGCAGAAACCGGGGGCTGGAAGCGTACCACTTGACTACCTCCAGTGCCCTCTCAGAGCTTATGCCAAAGCGACATGCACAACCACTTCCTCTTGGCAGCGCAATGAAGTCCATCATGTTGTGCCATCTCCTATAGCGGCGTGACGATTGTCCTTTGAGATTTCAAGGGGCTGTTGACGTGCCAGCCCCCCTCTTCCCCCCTTAGAATCGTGACTAGACAAGCTTTTGGTCGGGCCTGTGCCAGCGGCGGGATAATTGCTCCCCTGGGGCCACTCATTCCATGTGTTCTTTGCTGCGGAAGAAGAATCATCCCGGCGTACCCCGCATCCCGGCTCCATGGTCCCACTGGTTTTCAAGCGCGATGCAATTGTCCGGTGTATTCCCGACTTCGGCGTCGTGTGATTTCGTGCTTTGCATTTCAGGGGAAATGTTGGTCACGGTGAAGTGCGCCACGAATTATTGCTGCACCAGCGTGCATTTGCATTTGGTGTCCGCGGACTTTGTTAGTCCATGCACGGTGGCCTTGGGGTGGCCAATATAACTCACTTTCTGAATCCTGCCGTTCTGTGACATCGCTGTCTCAATACGGGGCATCCGTTCTGTGTTTGATGAGATTCTGATTCGTTGGCTGGCTAGGGCTCCACGGACAACAGTGTTGGTTTCATGCAGGCCGCCACGATGGTCTGGCGTGAATGGTTTGTACACAGAGGCTCGGTTGTGTTGATGCATACGTGTTAGCATTAGGGGTGGTTCGTATTTATGTTGTAAGTTCGGTGTGTATGCGGCGACCATAACAACGATGACGATGATAGTTTTTTTTATTGCGATCGCAACAATGACGACGAGGTGTCTACGACGATGACTGCATTTTCGCAGATGATGACGGCGATGAGGATGATGTTGATTATGTTGATGATGATGATGATGATTACGAGGAGGAGGAGGAGGAGGAGGAGGAGAAGGATGATGATGATGATGATGATGATGATGATGATGATGATGATGACGCCGAGGGTTGTCATGACAAGGACATGTCTCGTAGATAACCTCGCGGACGTTTTTCAACGGAGCATGTGATAGAGTTGCAGCACAAGCAGTGGCGTTGACGGTGGAGCCTCAGCACACACTGATACAGCTCAAGCACCACACCTCGGCGGCGAGCGAGGAGGGGAAGTGAGAAGGAGAAGGCCTTCTCAGAAGGTTCGGAAGTCCCCAGGCCTTCTGAGAAGTTGTCTAAGCCTTCCCCGAATACCGCAGCAACTTCTCAGAAGGCGCGATCGCTTCTGAGAAGCCCCGCCGCCTTCTGGGAAGGCCTTCTCCTTCTCATTTCCCCCCCTTGCTCGCCGCTCATTGCCAATTCCTTTCCGCACTGGCTTGAAATCCAGCGCTCTGTGGGCCAGGCGAGCACTTGACCTGGCCAGCCCGTCTGCGGCAGTGCCCACCGTTGACACCGAGCGCAGCCGCTGGGCCGCGGGCTGGCGCCTGGGGGCAATGCTCGGCGACTACAAAAAGGTATGCTTACGCAGTGGTGCGGTTTGCGATCGGCACCGTGGGGACCCGGGGGGTGCGACATTGTCCTCGTCGGGCATCCTCGGGGCGCGGCGGAGAGCTCTGTCGAGGTCCCCGCCCGTCCCTGGCCCCAGGGTGCCGGCTGCAATACGAACCCTTTGCAAACCACGCCCTTCGGAGTTGCCAGAAGGTCGCAGAACCCAATGGTGCAGAACCCCCCACCCGCGAGCAGTGCGCGAGTGGGTCCGTGAAGGCACGCTGGTGGAGTTGAGTATATGCTCATGCAGATCACACCCATCATCTCTCTCTTTCTCTTTTTGCTCTCCATCTCTCCCTCTCTCTTTCTCAGTTTCTCGCTCTCTCTCTCTCTCTCTCTTGCTCTCTCCTTGTTTCTTCCTTGTTGTTCTCTCATGTTTGTGTGCACGTTATGCATGCGTGCCTCCCCCCCCCGCTCCGATCTCTCCCCCCGCCGTGCTGCAGCGGTGACGAAGACACCGTGCCGTGTGCCCGCGCGCCCGCGCGGAGGCGGGCACGATGGCGTCCGCCATGCTGAAGTCGCTCACAGGCCTCTTGGGGTGCAGGGGGTGCGCTGCACTTTATCTTCGGTCGGAAATCATGGGAGCCTCGTGTACCCTCGCAATTCTGTCTTCAGCGTCGACTCGCGTCGACTAGCGTCCGGGAGTCGACGAGATGCGCCGATTCAGTGTCGGCTTGCGTCGATTAGCGTCGACCAGCGTCGCTCAGCGTCGATTCGCAAAAGCCGACGAGATGGTATGGGAGGCCCCCATGAGCTGTCACCGAACTTTGTACCGTGGAAACCCATGCCGAGAGACACCCTGCCCTGGGTTTCTTGGGGTTCGATGGTCTTGCGATGGAGAGCGCGAGGTCCCCGCACACACCAGAACGGTGCTGCCCGTCCCAGTCCCTCTCTTCTTCTGGCCTCGCCAGGGCCGCACGCGTGCTCTCTTCCAGGCAGGCTCCCCGTGTCCCCGTTGGAGGGCCAGCGCGCGAACTGCTCGACGAAGAACAGCAGCCCCGACCCTTACGATTGGGGCCCGCGGCACAGTCTTCAGCCTTTACCAAACAGCCCTACCCTGTTCGACTCCTTCACTAGATCCGTTTGCGGAACAGCTGCGCAAGTCGGGGTGCTTCTTATCAGGGTGCTTGTTCTGCCCTAGAGTGTTTGGGGGCAGGGTGCGTACACTGACCACACTCCCGTCCCCCCCCGTTCCCTTCCTGTTCAGCGCAGCGTCTCGGTGGCGCATCGCGGTGGCAAGCGCTTCGACGAGTGCCTCGTAGGCTGTCGGTGTCCCATTCCGAAAAGATGCCCGCGTGCATGACCGCTTGCCAGAGTTCTGTGGTGCTCTCGGGGGCGCGCGCGGCGCGCCACGGAGTGCGCAGAAGTCCTCGTGGGACGAGTTTCCTAGTTTCGTTGCTCGTTCTCGCGCAGGTGTCGCAGTGGAATGGAGCGTCCCCGGGGAAGCTCCCACGCGGCGCGCTCCGCCATCGTCGACCGAGGGGCGCACCGAGCAGGTACGCACTGTAGGCCTACGGAGATCGCTGGGCGGCGGATCCGAACAGCCGGTGGTGCACGATCGTCAGGCCGCTCGGCGCCTGTCCGCGGTGCCCATGCAGCATGTGCCACACGATCGGCAGGAGATTGCTCGATCGTGTCTGGTACCGGAGCAGGCTGCTCGCGGCTGCCTCCTCCTCCTCCTCCTCCTCCTCCTCCTCCGCCTCCTCGCGATCCGTCTGGCCCCTATGGGCCGCCAGGCATAGCAGAAAACCGAAACCCCGACACAAACTGAATCCATAGTTTCTCTGATAGCGTGTGGTTCAGAGTCGGCAGGATGTCCAGCAGCAGCGTGTCGTATGTTTGAGCCTTGACTGGTGCTCGATGGGCCAGTGACCCAGCCAGCGGCAGGGGCAAGGTACATATTGGAAGCCCATGCCACGAAGCACCCAGATCGCCTGCAGGGTGCCCGGGGTTTCTTGGGATTCGATGTTTCTACTATGGCAACCGTGACACCCCCATGCCAAAAGTTCATGGACATCCTGGGGTCCCGGGGTTGGGTTTCTTGCGGAAGGATTCTGGTGGTCGAGCTCCTGCTGCACTCGATAAGCATGCTGAGCTGGATCGACCGAGGCAGCCACGCCAGCGAGCTTGTGGCGCCGGCGGGGTCGGCGCGCGAGAGCAGCGACAGCTCCGGGTCCTCCGCCGTGCTCGGCGATCGCGGCGCGTCCGCTCTGCCGGGCGCGCCTCCGAGGACGCGATCTGCTCGCGGGAGGTCGCAATGCCGAGGGCGCGCGACTCCACCAGTAGCAGAGGATCAAAGCGGGTGCTCTAAGCCCAGCGTTGTGCGCCGGGGTTCACGAGCGCCTCGCTCCCGCCGTAGACGCGCTAACGGTGTGTCAGCCAACGGCGAAGTAGGAGATCCAATTGTAGGGAAGCGCGGTTCGTGGCTTGTAGGAACGCGTGGTTCGCGTTCTGCTGCAAACTCGCTGTGTCGTTTTCGTTCGGTCCATTTGCATATCTGAAATGTAGGAAACGGTCTTTCGGGATTTCCTACATGCTGTTCTTCGTGAGCTCGGTGTCACAAAAACCCGATTCCCAACCGCACCGTTAACCAAGCACGCCGTTAGCGCGGCCTTGGTCCCGCGAGCAGGGTGGGCGTCGCCACGCGCAGAGCCGTCGCCGCCCCTCGTGGCGTAGGATCCACCCGTCCATCCGTCCATCCACCAGCGGCAGCAGTGGCGGCGGAGGCGGCGACGGTGCCGGCATCGGCGGCTATTCGGGGAAACGTACGACTCGAGTAAGCCGGAACCCGAATTTGCCGACTTTTTTTTTTTGACGAGCGCGTCCTGGATTTTGGCGGTCACGTTTTCGTGGGATGTCTGCAGCGGGAGCCCGCGTCAAGTTTCAGGTTGGGTCTCGTCATTTTTATCATGGCCCTTGTCAGGCCAACCCGAGTCCCCCGTACCCGAGTCTTACGTCTCCCCGGGCTATGGCGGTGACGTGCCCGCTGCCCGCGACCATCTTTTTCAGGATGGACTCGAGCCACCAGAAGCAGCAGGAGAGGTGAAAGGGGCGCGAGGATCTTTCGGAGGGTGGGGAGGGAAGTGGGGGGCTGGGGCAGAAGGAAGGAGGAGGAAACGAGAGGAACGATGACGACAAGCTGGTGGAGGGTGGGGGACGGACTGAGGGAGGGAGGAAGGGAGGGAGGGAGTGAGGGTGTCGAGTGTTTTGAACGCGCGTAACTAGGGCAGGCTTTGGGATACGAATTCTTATTGCAGAGTCGCCCTCCTGGCTTTAAGTGAGGGCCTATCCTTTTGCATCATTGTCTTCCTTCATTGTCTTCGTCGTCCTACTCCTCGGTCCCATTGCCTCCGCTCATCGCAGAGAGTGGGAACTGAGCAGGCCTCACTTCCGTGTCCAAGCCGGAGCTCGACAAGGCGAAGGCCATGTTGAAAGGCGCTGGGGACAGCAGCTAAATGACTTAAAGGACCGACGAGCCAGAGGACGTCCATGGAGGCTACAGGGAAGCTGGAAAGACTGGTCCATTTCTGCCTTATCCAGCCCGGTAATTCCCCGACCAGGCTGTCTCAGTGGTTTCGGGCTTCTTCCAACCCTGGCCACTCTCGCCACTTCCGTACGGCTGCAGTTTCCGATTTCCACTCCCCCGTGTTTCTCCGCCCCTGGCTTCTCTTAAAGATCAGAGGATAGTTGGGACAAGGCGGAAGAGGCGCTTTGGTTTGAGTGCCCTCGTTGACGGATCCTGACCCTGATTAGCTCTTCCGCGAGAAGGCGGAGGGGATAGAGAGACGGAGAGGGTTGTTACGGGAAGGACGGGTGAGGGTTCAAGACGCCTCTCCAGAGCGCTTCAAGAGGCCGAAATCGTCAATTTTACAACGGTTTTCGAACGATTTTGGCTTTCCAGCCTTTTGAGCTGTCCGATAATCCAAGACGGCTCAATAGGTCCCCAAGAGCGCCCCAACACGGCCCAAGAGGTCCCAAGACGGCCCCAGAGGCGCCCAAGACAGCCCAAGAGAGCTCCAAGACGGCCCCAAGATGCGCCCAAGAGGGGGACCACGACTCCAAAATTCGACCCTCCTGCCCCAGGAGGCCCCAAGGAGCCCCCAAGAGGCCTCAGGAGGCCCCCAAGAGGCACCCAGGAGGTCCAAACGAGGCCTAAAGAGGCCACAAGACAGCCCCGAGGAGGCCCCACAACGGTCCCAAAACGGCTACCGAGAAGCTGCGAAACTGCCTTCACGACGTCCCCGACAGGCCAACCACGAGATCCAAACCAACACCCATGAGGCCTCTGACCCACCACCCAGGGCACGGTGGCAGGAGCAGGGACATCACTTGTGCACAGCACGTTCCGGCGGGAGCCTTCCGGAACACGCTGCAGGAGGAGGAAAATCAGGAGGAAAGAGAGAGTTGGAGTGGGAGGAGGAGGAGGAGGAGGAGGAGGAGGAGGAGGAGGGGGAGGAGGAGGAAGAGGCCTCCAAGACAGCTCCAAGATAGCCGAAGAGGCTTCCAAGAGGGCCCTGGGCGGCCCACGAGGGCCCCAGGGCGGGGCCTGAGGCGCCCAAGACGGCCCGAGAGGGCCCCAAGACGGCCCCAAGAGACCCAAAAAGGGAAACACGAACCGAGAATCCGAGCTTTCTACCCCGAGAGGTTCTCGGGAAGTCCCAAGAGGTCCCCACTCGGATCCAAGAGACCCCCAAGAAGCCCCCAAGAGGGCCGACGAGGTTCCAAGAGATCTCCCAAGATGGCCCCAAGAGGCGCAACTCATTGTTTTACGATTTGGCTTTGACGGGCTTTTTATTTTTCTGCCTTTTGGCATCCCGATTCTCCAAGACGGTCCAAGAGGCTTCCAATACCGCTCCAATATAGAGGAAGAGGCCTTCAAGAGGGCCCCAAGACGGCCCACGAGGGCCCCAAGACGGTGCTTGAGGCGCCTAAGACGGCCCGAGAGGGCCCCAAGAGCCCCAAGAGAGGCCCAAGAAGGGGAACGCGACCCAACAGCAGAGCGTTCCCCCCAAAAGGCCCACAGGAGGCCGCAAGTGGCCCCCAAGTGGTCCGACGAGGACCCCACAAGTTTCCCGAGGGCCCAAAAGGCCCTCAGGAGACGTCCAAGAGGCTTTAAAATAGCCCAACAGTGCCCTCGATGCGTCCAAACAGCTTCCAGGAGGCCCCTGGGAGGCTTCCGGATTGCCTCAATGTGGCCCCAGGTGGCCTCAAGTCGGGCCTCCACGCAGCCAAGACGGCCAATGACGGCTTCAGATTGCAGAACCGATGCCCCCAAGGGACCCTAAGACGCGCCCCCAAGAAGCACCCAAGAGGTGCCTCCAACAGCCAGTTGACGAAGCATGTGAAACACCCCAGAAGCTCCTCAGATGCTGTCACGCGCCTGTGCTTGATAGCGTTGTCCAAGATCGTCCAGCGCCCCCCCGGCCTGGGCTAGAACCTGAGCGCGCGCGAAGCGCGTGCGATGGTTCTAGTCTTCATATATATATATATGTATAGGCATGTGTACATGTTAATGTAAATGTTTACGTATACGTAAATGTTTATGCATATGTTTATGTAGATGCACATATATACATAGAGAGAGAGAGAGAGAAATACACAATGACCTTCGGCCCACCCCGCCACCGTGCCTGGGGTCTGGGTGTGAAGTCTTTTGCATGCCCCTTGAGAAACTCTCGGGTGCCTCTGGCGGCAGCTTGGGGGGTTCTGGGGGGTTGTTTTGAGGCCTCTGGAGGTCTCTTGTGGGGGTTTGGGGGGGCCTCGCGGCGCCTCTTGGGGTCCTCTTGACTCTTGGGGTTTCTCGGGGCCATGGGCTCGAAATGTCCGTTTGGGTCCCCCGTGTGGGCTCCCGCTTGGAGCCGTCTTGGGAGTTTCTTGGGCCGTTTTGGAGGCATCTACGGCTGTCTTCGGGCCCTCGGAGGTGGTTTGAGGGCCCTTTTGGAGGCTTTTCGGCTCGTCTTGGGGCGATCTTGGGGGCCCGTCGGGAAACCGAGAAAACGACGACGCCAACAAAACCGCTGGGAGCCCCAGGGGCTGCGCGACGCACCCGGGCCGATTTGGCAAGCTTGGGTCCAGGCCCCCTTTTTGAGAGCCCTCATCATTGAGAACTGACGCGGCACCTAGAGAACCCTCATCGTTGAGAACCCTCATCATTGAGAACCCTTTTTGAGAACCCTCATCATTGAGAACCCTCATCATTGAGAACCCCTTCTTGAGAGCCCTCCTCATCGAGAACTGACGCCTCCGGCGGTGGACCAAGGACCCGAGGACGCCTACACCGCGTGCCGCAGGGGCACGGCGGCGGACGTCCGGCTCTGAGTACTCGGGTGCCGCCGTCCCGCTTGGGCCCCCCCCTCGCGTGGGTCAGCCTCAGGCTCAGATCCTCCTCCTCCTCCTCCCTCCTCCTCCATCCTCCTCCTCCTCCTCCTCCTCCTGCTCCTGCTCCTCCTCCTCCTCCTCCTCCTCCTCCTCCTCCTCCTGCTCCTCCTCCTCCTCCTCCCTCTCCTGCCTAATCATGGTAGTGGTGGTGGGACATCGGCCCGTCATAGGGGGGCCAGAGGGGGAGCAACTTGAGGGCGAGGGGGCGGCTCCGCCACGCGCGCGCGCAGCGGTGCCCCCGAGGCAAGATCTTCCGGCAGACCGACGACGGCAGCACTCTCACGCAGGCATTTTTGCTCTGCCCACGCGTAGAGGGGGGGCATGTGGGAGGGGCGAAGGCGTCTGAGAAGCACCCCTGCTTCTCAGAAGGCGCGGGCCTCACAGTGGAGACCCATGCCACGAGACACCCTGCTTGCCTCCAGGGTACCCTGGGTTTCTTGGGTTTCGATGGCTTCGCGATAGAATGCGTGACGTTCCCGCAAGGTTGCTTGTGGAAGGTTGCTTGTGGACTAGCCCCCGTTGTATCTATAGATGTAGGGCCGGTGCGCCTTCTAAGAAGCAGCCTCCTAAGAAGCCCTCCCCCCTCCCCCTACCCCCCTCTCTGCGCGCCGCCAATTTCTCCTGCGAGTGGAGGTCGAGGACAAGTAAAATTATCCCGGCAAAGCAACCTAACAGCCATGTGTAGGAGCATATCTGGAAGCATTCCCCTTAAGATTCGGATGAGAATCCAGTTGTAGAATTCTGCTGTTCTCGCAGTCGTAGTCGCATTCGCGATGACAGTCGCAGTGGCAACGGCAGTCGCAGTCACAGCCTCAGCCTCAGCCTGCCTCAGCCTCAGCCTCAGCCTGCCTCAGCCTCAGCCTGCCTCAGCCTCAGCCTCAGCCTGCTTCAGCCTCAGCCTCAGTCTGCCTTCAGCCTCGGCCTCAGCCTCAGCCTGCCTCAGCCTCAGCCTGCATCAGCCTCAGCCTCAGCCTCAGCCTGCCTCAGCATCAGCCTGCCTCAGCCTCAGCCTCAGCCTGCCCTCTGCCTCAGCCTCAGCCTGCTTCAGCCTCAGCCTCAGTCTGCCGTCGGCCTCGGCCTCAGCCTCAGCCTGCCTCAGCCTCAGCCTGCATCAGCCTCAGCCTCAGCACGAAGCGACCCAGCTAGAAGGACAAAGCGCTGAATGTACACCGATGTGTTCGACGACTGCGTATGTAATGATGTGACGATATACAGACTGAGCCCTTCGTGAATGTCTACATGTTTTTCTGACGCCTACAAACGGCGCTGACGTGTGTGAGAAAATTGTCCGCGCAGCAAAAGCCGGCGAAGCGTGCGGGAGCTCGCATGCTGAGACAGACTACGTCTGCAGACCGCCAGCTGCAAAAGGTTGCGAGCGGCTCTTGGAAGATGTTTACGGAACGGAGCTACGGTGTCTGAAAACATTGGCATCGAAGCGAAGAGCCTCGGAGCCCTGCAACCTGAGAAACACCGCAGGAACTCGCATACTGAAAAGGAATGCATTGCAAACCGCACGCTGCGAACCCTGCAGGCTGAGAAGCACCGCAGGATGTCGCATGCTGAAAAGCACTTGTACTGCAGAGCGCTAGCACTCCATCTCGGGCTCGGACCCCCCCGTCCTGATCCAGAACGTGTCCGGCCACGGCCTGAAAATGCCGTTCCAACTCCCGAGGATCAGCTGGCACTCCGGCTCTGGGACACTCCAGTACGTCTTGAGCACCTTGAGCCAGGCCCCATCTCGGGATCCCCACAGCACGCTGTACTTGACCGAGACCGTGCCGAACTCATAACAATTGACCTCCGAAGGACCTGCGATGCGGTGGTTCTGAGCCAGGACGAGGTCCGCATGGTCGAGCGTCGGCACCGTACGCCCATGCCCAGACGGACCATCCACGGCGAGCCACATCATCTGAGACAGCGTCTGGAGGGCGGTCGACAGGCGACTGGCGACTGGCGACGACGAGCTGGTCTTGGACTGTCAGGAACGCTACACGACCAAAAGAAAACGAAGCACGACCGAGGAAACACCAGAGCTCCTAGCTGGGAGGCGAGATCAAGGGGGACGAGGAAGAAGGGAAGAGGAGGAGGAGGAAGAGTCAGAGCAAGAGTAACGGTGAGAGTAAGAGTCAGAGTAAGAGTAAGGCGAACTGCACGAGTCGGAGTAAGAGTCAGGGCAAGAGGCCCCCCAAGCGGCCCCAAGAGGCCCCCAAGAGGCCCCCAAGAGGCCCCCAAGAGGCCCCAAGAGGCCCCAAGAGGCCCCCAAGAGGCCCCCAAGAGGCCCCCAAGAGGCCCCCAAGAGGCCCCACGAGGCTCCAAGAGGCCCTCCAAGGGCTGGTGGTACTCGGCTTTTAATCATGTGGTGGGAGGGCGGAACGCGAGGGCTTACGGCCGCCCTTCGGGTTTGATCACTGCTCCTTATCAATCCCACCAGCCCTTTGGGCGTGAGTGGTTTAGGGAGCCCGCTCTGTTCTCAACCCCCCTTCTTCCCCTTCGGGGAGGGGTTTACCCCTCCCCCTACCCCCTCCCCCTGGGCCTGGAGAGGGCGCCCCGCGGGTCGTTTGAGGGGTCTTTTTCGACTCCTGGGAGGGCTAAAAAAACGACGACCCTCACGAGGATTCTGGCCCCGACGGGGGGGCACCGTCTGGTCCCCCTCCTCTTCTTTAAAGCCAGAATCATTGATTGTACTACGGTTTTGGCCCCATTTTGGCGTCCTGAGGGGGCCGCGCTCATCTTCCTTCACAGCAAAATCATTGATTTTACGAAGGTTTTCGGCTCATTTTGTCCTTCTCAGGGGGCAGCTCTCATTTGCGCTTTTGAGGAGGTCGCAAGAGGCCCCAAGATGGCCCCAAGAGGCCCCCAGGAGGCTCCCAAGAGGCCTCCAAGAGGCCCCCAAGAGGCCCCCAAGCGGCCCCAAGAGGCCCCCAAGAGGCCCCCAAGAGGCCCCCAAGAGGCCCCAAGAGGCCCCAAGAGGCCCCCAAGAGGCCCCAAGAGGCTGAGAAGCACCGCAGGAACTCGCATGCTTTCGAACACTACTGCTCGAGACCGCAGCTGGAGAGCGGCAGACCGCAGGCTGAGAAGCACCGCGGGCAGGGAGACTTGCAAAACTCAGATGTCCTGATCGTCTTGGAGGAAGTCACGCCAGTCCGGCGGCTGCCAAGAATCGATGATGCGCCTGGAGCCACCGCCCGTGCTGCCGCCGATGTCCAGGTAGTCGCCATCGGCCCTGAACAGACGGCCGTGCCCCAACGCCAGAATCGCTTGGTTGCGGATTTGAAGCAGCTCTCCGCTCTCAAACATCTGCAACACGTCCAGCTGCCTGCGCGTGAAGTTCGGCTTTGGCTGGCCAGCCTGGGCAGACAGATGGCGGGAAAGCCGCTCCCCCTCGTTGTAGCGCGCGATGGCCTCGGCCTTCTGGTGGTGCAGCCGGCGCCGCTGTTGCCGCAGAGCTTCCTCGGGAACTGCTGCATCACGGCCCTCACTGTGATCAGCTTGCAACGCTTGCGTTAGCCAATCAACGTCGAAGCGCCCTGAGAAGGCCAGCACCTCCCAGATCTGTTTGGTACCGGCCACACGTTGCAAATGGCGATGCCACCGCTTACGCTTCTGGTCTTTCACAAACTTGGCGACGCTACCCAGACCTGCACCCTTGGCCTGGCCACCTTTTCCCGCAGGCTGAGAAGCACCGTGAGAACCTTTCTTACCGCCTGGCCCTTTGTTAGGACCCTGCGGAACCGCATGGCCCCCTTGTGGCGCAGACTTGCCTCTCGCTTTTCCCTTTTCGACATCCCGTTCCTGAAGCGCACGCTGCTGCCGCGACTGCTCGTACTGGTCGCGAGCTACTCTGACCAATTCCTGGCGCTCAGGCTCCGTGAGAACGTAGCGCATGTCGTCGATGTTCTTGCTCCGCAGAAAGTCATGTCGAAGCTTAAGGACAGAGAGAATGGCTCGGCCAGTCTCCTCCTGAGACGCAAAGGCCGTGTCATATTCCGAGCCATGCTGAGGAGCGCCAGCTGGATCAGCGTCCGCTGGCTCCGTGGACTTCCTCTTTTTGAAAAGCAAGAGACTGAGATGATGGAGGACTTTCGGATCGTACTCCTCGTCGTACCTTTCGTCCCAAAGCTGCCTCAGCTCCCTGTGCAAGTCGTTCGCGCGATTCTGAACGACATCCTCGACGTAGTCGGGATCACCCGGTGAAGTCGGTGAAAGCGGAGGAGTAGAACTCGGCGACCGATCCCAATGCACAGAAGACTCGGCGTCCGCCTGTACGCTGACGTCGGCGTCGGAGACGTTTTCGACGACAATCTTCCGCCTCTTGCTCTCCCCAGGCTGAATAGCACCAGGGAGAGTGAGCACAACCGCCACCGCATCGTGTGCGTCGTTGCGCATGCCACGATCCGTAAAAGACGCGCCAACGGCAATGGAGCAGAAACGGGCGACTGCTCCGCAGACCGCGACGTGGTCGCCTTTGAGGTCGGCCGGAGTGGCATGGACCTCCCAGAGCTTCTCGTCGTTCTGCTGGCGCTGGTAAGCCTCCCGCGCCTCCTGGAAAGTCAGGTTGTCGTCGCCGACTACAAGCAGAACGACTGGCACGTGCGGCTCCGAAGCATTGAGAATCTGAGCCATGCAGTCCAGGTGCAAGCGGAGATGGCGAACTGTCCGCTTTCGAGTCTGGATGGTCGGCGGTTTCTTGCCGCACACGATGTGCATGTTGGCGATCACCACGTGGAACTTGTCATGGCCTGGTTTGTTCACCTCAAAATGTGAAATAACAGCATCAATCTCTCGGCCGCTAGGAGGCCTGTAAACTTTGCTGTCTTCGCACAGAGTCAGTTCCGCAGGCTGAGAAGCACCGCGGAACCCCCAGAGAGTCAAGTAGTTGTCGACCTCCGAGAAGCGAATGCCATCACCGAAAGGCTTACTGAGGATCTCTGTCACGTTGATCCCTGCTCGGCGAAAGCCTTCACGGAACGCACCGACCTCGCAGCCACAGACCATATCAGCATCAGCGGTCTCCACTATCGTGGCGCACACCCTTCCGAAGTTAGCGCAGTGAGTGGCCGCCTGCTTACCAGTCATCATGCCCTGCTCGAACCCGAAATTGAACGAGGCGACCGTGAAAGACGCAGGCTGCACAGCGCCAGAACCAGGCGTCTGTCCACCTTCCTCCGCAGGCTGAGAAGCACCGCGAGGCGGCGCAGGCTGAGAAGCACCGCGAGGCGGCGACACTTCGGACGAGCCTCGCGGAGCAGAGGCTGCGGATGAACGTTGGACATGGGGGTACGGCCAG